CTGTACGGAGGTGAGATGACATCTGTTAGGATGCACAGTCATTTGCTTAGTCAACAATTACTTTTTAGACCTAATGATTCATCCAATAGTAAAGGAACTTCATTGCTAAGATCTAAGAGGCATATACCTGCTCTGTTAGCTTGTAGGGTGGCTCCTAATAATAACATTAGGTCTTACATTACAGGGCACTAATGAATCTCCATAATTTTGATTATGTCCTTATCCTACCTAAGGTTCAAGCCACCTCCAAAAATGAAAGCACTATTATTTCTGCTTTGCTAATTTACTTTCACTGGAGTGTCTGCCCTTGATCTGAGGGCCGTCTTCACTTATGGTAAATCCCACCTAATAGACAAGACTAACTAGCTTATGATAGGTTACAGGGGAGGTGGGGGAGAGATTCTGTCCTTTATGGCCATGACTTCTTTCTGCACAAAGCATGCACTGGCACCCCACCTTCTTAATAGATATACAAATGGTATTGAGGAAGCTATTTACACATGGTGACCTTGGAACATTAGTTTCATGTTTCATTTTGAATATTCATTTTCCCTATATAGCCTTCAGAAAAGCAATCCCTGGAAAAGAAATTATCTATGTAATAAGCATTCTTCCAAAGCAAAATCTGTTAGGAGCATTTAAAAGCAAACATTCCCCCTACAACAACCTACTCAAAATTCAACAACATATTTCTGACTGTTGTCACTAAACGTGAGTACAGCCACATCAGCAGACTGCTTGCTCTCGTTGTCTTTCCCCACTCTTCCCAAATGCACAAAGAAACCTGAGCACTGCTATTCAAGTTTGACTGTACACAGACCCCCACCTCCATTGCTTGCTGGGAGGCACGAGGCCCACACAGAGGGCAGGCACACCCTCTAGCGGTAAGACATCGACATTACAGCTGTGATTGATGTACAGTTGACCCTTTCCTGCCTGCAATGTCCACAAACAGAAGTAGCTACTGTGTTTCCCACTGCACAACTGGCTGGGTAAAGACAACGAGTTGCTACAGTCATCTGTGACCTGGGCCACAGTAATAAAAGCAGGCCTTGGTGTGATTTATTTGCACTAGACTTCAGATCAAATCCTGTATTACCCTGACTATCTCAGACAGGTCAGGTCTGATAAAATGATTCCTAACCTGTGCAAGTGAGACCATGCATTGAAAGAGAGGATTTCTGCAACACCTCATTTTAAATAACCACTCCTCAGGTAGACTTTGGAAGGTAAGTACCTACATCATTCTCAAACTTCATCCTTTTCCCCCTTAGCAGCTATAGACACTTCTAGAATGGCCACTCCACCTAAGAGGAGAGCCTCAACTCATCAGCAGTGAAAGCTCAGGTCAAACCTACACTACAGGCTGCCACTACTGGCTGCCATAAACTTGGTCAGCTGAAATAGTCTTCCCATCTGTGATTTTACATACAGAATTTACAAAACTTCTGAATAGAAAGTTCATGGCAAATCTATACATACACTCTTGAAGGAGAGTTGTAGAAAGAAAATATTCATTCCCATAAAATTTCTGAGGCTAGGGACAAGGCTCAGTGATAGAGAGCATTTGAGAGTGCTTGCCTCGCAAACTCAAGGCTGTGGGTTTCATCCCCAGAACAACAA